ACAGAAAATGTATGTATATACCACATGAGCAGGTGTATGTACCTGGTAGTATGATTAGATACCCTTACTGGTCGTAAAGGTTATTAATACCTGTATCCTAGACGGGTAAAACAATGTATGAAAATCGAATATAGACATTTAAAAGCGTATATCCATATGTGTGTTATGCAAGTTTAATAGAGCAAAGTGCTCTGTCCCAATGTTTATTGTATGCTTGTAATGCCCCTGTTTGAAGGAAATTAACTTGTCGGGAGTGTTATATCATGTGTGATATGGAACACAACTGTACCCCGAAACATGAGTGTAGTGAACCATGACTGGCAGCTGAATAACCTAATAAGTGAAAATACATAATTGGAAGGACTTATATTTTAAGCGTGCAAATATTCCATATTAGACTCTGGAAAACTGCATAGTGCTTTAAATAGTATGTGTATTCTTGGGTAAATGTATGCGTATTGTCAGTAAATGTAACTAAATGCCTATGAAGGCAGGTATGCAGGAATGATATCATAGTAAGCATGATTTATAAGGAAGTGTTATTGTGTAATTATAATTATAGTGGGAATGTTATGAGGGGAATAACCATATGTCTGAAAAGCCTGTAGTATACCGTTTGACAGATAGGAGTCAGTATAAAAGTGAAAATGCTGTAGTTAGTTTGTTTGCTTATGAAGTAAAATAAAGTCTGAGAAGCCTGTAGTACACTGAATGACCGGTAAGGGTCAGCATGTAGGCGAAAATGCCGTGGTTCGTTGGTTTGTACATGAAATGCAATAATGTCTGAGAAGCCTGTAGTACACCGAATGACTGGTAAGAGTCAGTGTGTAGGCGCAAATGCAGTGGTTCGTTGGTTTGTACATGAAATGCAATAATGTCTGAGATGCCTGTAGTTACACCAAATGACTGGTAGGGGTCAGTGTCTTGGTGAAAATGCAGTGAAAATGCAGTGGTTTGTACATGAAATGCAAAAACTTCTAAGAAGCCTATAGTACACCAAATGACCGATAGGGGTCAGTGTCTAGGTGAAAATGCAGTGGTTTGTTGGTTTGTACATGAAATGCAATAATATCTGAGAAGCCTGTAGTACACTGAATGACTGGTAGGGGTCAGTGTGTAGGTTAAAATGCAGTGGTTAATTGGTTTGAACATGAAATGCAAAAACGTCTAAGAAGCCTGTAGTACACCGAATGACCGATAGGGGTCAGTGTCTAGGTGAAAATGCAGTGGTTCGTTGGTTTGTACATGAAATGCAATAATATCTGAGAAGCCTGTAGTACACTGAATGACTGGTAGGGGTCAGTGTGTAGGTTAAAATGCAGTGGTTCGTTGGTTTGTAGATGAAATGCAATAATGTCTGAGATGCCTGTAGTACACCGAATGACCGGTAGGGGTCAGTGTCTAGATGAAAATGCAGTGGTTCGTTGGTTTGTACATGAAATGCAATAATGTCTAAGAAGCCTGTAGTACACCGAATGACCGGTAGGGGTCAGTGTGTAGGCGCAAATGCAGTGGTTCGTTGGTTTGTACATGAAATGCAATAGTGTCTGAGATGCCTGTAGTTACACCAAATGACTGGTAGGGGTCAGTGTCTTGGTGAAAATGCAGTGGTTTGTACATGAAATGCAAAAACGTCTAAGAACCTGTAGTACACCGATGACCGATAGGGGTCAGTGTGTAGGCACAAATGCAGTGGTTCGTACATGAAATGCAATAATGTCTGAGATGCCTGTAGTACACAGAATGACCGGTAGGGGTCAGTGTCTTGGTGAAAATGCAGTGAAAATGCAGTGGTTTGTACATGAAATGCAAAAAGTCTAAGAAACCTGTAGTACACCGATGACCGATAGGGGTCAGTATGTAGGCACAAATGCAGTGGTTCGTACATGAAATGCAATAATGTCTGAGATGCCTGTATTACACAGAATGACCGGTAGGGGTCAGTGTCTTGGTGAAAATGCAGTGAAAATGCAGTGGTTTGTACATGAAATGCAAAAAGTCTAAGAAACCTGTAGTACACCGATGACCGATAGGGGTCAGTGTGTAGGCACAAATGCAGTGGTTCGTACATGAAATGCAATAATGTCTGAGATGCCTGTAGTACACAGAATGACCGGTAGGGGTCAGTGTCTTGGTGAAAATGGTGAAAATGCAGTGGTTTGTACATGAAATGCAAAAACGTCTAAGAAACCTGTAGTACACCGATGACCGATAGGGGTCAGTGTGTAGGCCCAAATGCAGTGGTTTGTACATGAAATGCAATAATATCTGAGAAGCCTGTACTACATTGAATGAGGACCGATATGGGTCAGTGTGTAGGCGAAAAAATTGTATGTCGTTTGTAGTTTTAACCCAACAGATTTTTAACCAAAACAGATTTTAACCAACAGATTTTACATAAACAGCTAGGTGAGTATAAGGTAACGAAATAACCGTGCAAAACGAAAGGAAACGTAAAGTGAGGACCCGTGCTGTGTTGAACGCCGTGGGAACTAATCCTGGCGCGACAGGTGGGTCAACTTACGGTTTGAGAGTCCCTGAGACACCAAATGCGATGCTGACCGGAGAGAAAGCCACTGGATTAACGGAAATCCCTGCTGCAGGATTCATGGACACAGCTTGGAGTAAGAGACCTCATGGAGCAAAGGTGAAACCAAAATGGCGTCTTGTATGACCTGGAAGTGGATCTCATGCAAATGCTGACCTTGAACAGTCTATTCGTCTGACCAACAAAGGTAAGTAGGGAGAGGGGGAGTCCCTTTTATAGGTCTATAGCCCCTCCCACAACTTCAGGCCATGCCTTCCAATATATATATATATATATATATATATATATACACTCCATTTTCCCCTTCTTTTTCTCTATCCTCTTTTCCCTCCTTAGGCCTACATCCAGTATCTCACAAAAGTGAGTACACCCCTCACATTTTTGTAATTATTTTATATCTTTTCATGTGACAACACTGAAGAAATGACACTCTGCTAAAAATGTAAAGTAGTACGTGTACAGACTGTATAACAGTGTAAATTTACTGTCCCCTCAAAATAACTCAACACACAGCCATCTATACACCAAAACTGCTTTATTAAGCTAAAGTTGTTTTGGTGCTTACACTGTCCCTTTAAGCATTAAAATCAAGTTTCAGTTCAGTTAAATGGACACTCAAGGGTGGATTTTCCACACATACACATCATTATAATATTAACAAAACAATGAACAGATGCCTAGGCATGGAAACAGTCTAATTCCTACCTTGATCCATAGATCACTTACCAGACAGGAGGTTTCAGCTTAAATAGTCGTTCAGCTGCCTGTACAGCTTTTCCGATGTCATTGGCCAGCATGGTCACAATGAAAAACTGACCCACATCCCAGTAGTTGTTCATTTTTTCCAGGCTCCCTTTCCTTCCCAACAAGCTGTTCAGACGTACACCTTTTATGGTTTTAAAAGAAGAAATGCTTCAGTGGGATTAAAATATCTAGTAAAAACATTCTACATTGCAGGATCAGTAATAGTCAGTTGTTAATCCATTTCCAGGTAATCCCCAGGATGATACATGGTTTTGTGTGTGTGTATGTTTGTAAAAGTGTGTACGTGCACAGGGGGGAAATAGGAGCAGGAGAGGACGTTATTTAGGTCTTGTAGGGAATGCAATGGTACTCTGTGATGTACATCACCCAGCAATCTGTCTTCGTTTGTTTGACCCTCTTTTTTTTTTTTTTTTTATTCTTTATGTTGAGATTTTCAGTAGTAACAAATTAACAGTAGCATACAAGTTGTACTGCATATCCGTTTATGGGTTACGGAGTTCATGTGTTAAGCCTTGTGGCGAGCATGGGTCCTAGCGTTCTGTCTCTTCGACCACTTGGTCTTGGCTGTGTCTTACTGGCGTGGGTGTTGTGTGGTCGCTGTTATGCGCCTAACTTTGCCCTCTCTTAACAAATTGCAGAAGATGCTGGGTGAAACACATAGATCCGAGATAAATCCTTCTAAGGGTTTACTCTGCTTACTGAATAAGTGATTCCTTTTTTTTTCAGATTTGTATTTTATTATTTTCTCCAAAATGTGGTCTGGGGTACAGAAGGAAAAGGGGTATGTTAGCGGGGGGTACAAAGTTTCAGCATTTTACATAACCATCACATCCGTAGAATTTTACAGAACCGGAGGTAATACAGGGGGAATTGGTACATACATGCATTTCGACACAGTAAATTGGGTATATGCGTAAGCTGGTTAACTATTAAATTGTGTACAGTGTCGCTTTAGTGTCTATGCGGCCTGGTTCTTAAGTGAGAGCCATGCAAGGGGATCCTCCCGTAACTAAGGTTGTGAGTGGTCGGTTCAGCCGACGTAGTTATTATTGTAAGCCGTACGGCCTGTGGTGGTTCTTTACGTCAATTAGTCCCAAGTTGCGGGTTGGGAAGTGCTGGAGTCATGCCTCATTTTGATGAGTGCGTTGGTGTATAAGAGGGTAGCCCCTATGGTAGGGCAAAAACTTGGTAGGAGGGTGGGGGTGGGGGTCTGGTTAGGCGTGGGGTGGGTGAGGGAGGGGAAGAGGAGTGTGAGAGAGTGCTGGTAGAGTGTGGTACAAGTACCGTTTGTGTACTGTATGAGTCCTGTCCTCATCAGAGAACAGGGTCTTATTGTATTCGTTAGGAAGTTGTTAACTTCGTTGCTTTTTTTTTTTTTTTTCGTGTAGTGTGTTACATATTTCGCCTGGGTATACCTTCCGTTTCGTCCACCTCCCCCTCCCAGTCTCCCCAGCTCACATCAAATGTAAGTTTCTTTTGTGGGGATACTATTGCCATTCTTTCATAGATTTTGTATTGAGTGAGTTTGGTTTGGAGTTGGGCTAAGGATGGGCAGGTCTGTGATTTCCAGTGTAGTGCTAGCAAGTTCCTTGCCGCCAGTATAGTAAGAGCTGCGATCTGTTTTTGTGCTAGGGTGAGGTTGGCTGGGAGTAGGAGCAGGAGACACGAGGTTTTCGACAATTGGAATTTAGGGATGTGAAGTTGGTCTAGGGTTGTGGATACGGCGGTCCAAAGTGGTTGGATACTGCCGCAAGACCACCACAGATGCTCCAAGGTTCCTGTAGTTGCATTGCACCTCCAGCAAGTATTGGGCGTATTGGGGTATATGCGGTGAAGTCTCTGTGGGGTCATGTACCAGCGGTAGAGGAGTTTTTTTGTGGGTGTAGCACTTTGTCCATTTGGAGAGGCCGTTGAGGGCGCGTAGCCAGTCGCAGTCCGTCAGCACTGTCCCCCAGTCTGTCTCCCAATCGAGTTTATAGGGGTGCGATGTGGTTGTTGAGAGTTCTTGCCATGCCTTGTAGCATAGCGTAAGTGTTTTGGGTTTTGTGGGTGTTGTCCAGCATCTGTCTAGGAGTAAGTAAGAGGTGAGTCTAGTCGCGTCTGGTGGTGTATGCAGTGAAGGTGTGTGTGCTTGTATCGCACTTTTTAGTTGTAGGTAGGAAAAGATAGCTCTGTTTGGGAGTTGCCACTGTGTTTGTAGGACTGGGAATGGTATTATGCCTTTGGCGTCTAAGAGCTGTGATATTTTTGTCATTCCTGCTGTGTTCCAGTCCTTAAGGGGGATGTTGGGTACTATTGTTCTTAAGACTGAGATTGGGGATTTGGTGTGTAATGTGTCCTTGTGGCCTATAGTCTCCATAAAAGTGTCCCATATGGATATTGTGAGTTGTGTGGTTGGGAACAGGTCCGTGTGTTTAGTTCTAAACTTCCTCGGTGTCCATAGGTAGTCAGTTAGAGATATGACTGTAAATTGTGTTCTTTCCATGTCCACCCACTGTAATGTGCCTGGTGGAGCGTGAAGGAGTATGCCCGTGGAGAGAATCGCTGCTCTCTGGTATTGCCTCAGGTTTGGGAGACCCACTCCTCCAAGTCGTGGAGCGGTCTGGAGAAGTGCTAAGGATACCCTGGGTCTTTTCCAACTCCAGATATATGTGCCACATAATTTTTGTAGTGCTTTACAAAATTGGGGCGTGATCCCTAATGGTATCATCCTAAAAATATAGAGGATACGTGGGAGGATCATCATTTTGTATGTGTTAATTCTTCCTAACCACGAGAGTTTTGCGTGTTTCCATCTGTTCATTTCCACTTTGCATAGTGTTAGTAGAGGTTTGTAGTTTAGTTGTGAAGTGGCAGAAATTGTGGGTGCTATCTTTATTCCCAGGTATGTGATAGAGTGTGGTTTCCAGTCGAACTGGTAGGAGGTATGGAGTGTGTCCAACAAGGGCTTTGGCAGGTTTATTGGTAGGGCTTGGGTTTTGTCTTGGTTTAGGCGGTAGTAGGAGATATCGCCAAATTTCTGTAGGAGGTCTAACAGGGGAGTAAGAGAGCGTCGTGGGTCTGACAGTGCTATAAATATGTCGTCGGCAACCAAGGCTAGACTGTACATTTTGTTGTGGATATTGACTCCTAGTATCTCGGGATGTGATCGGATCTTTTGGGCCAGGGGTTCTAGGGCGAGTATGTACAGAAGGGGTGACAAGGGGCATCCCTGGCGGGTGCCATTTGTGATGGAGAACGTAGCGGAAAGGAACCCTCCGTGTGATACCTTTGCTGCTGGGCGATGGTATAGAGCCATGATGCTAGTTATGGTGGATTCTGGGAAGTTAAATTGTGCTAAAACTTTAGTCATATAGGCCCAGTTTAGGCGATCAAAGGCCTTCTCCGCGTCCAAGGCGAGGAGGAGGCCTGATGATCTGTTGGACTCCAATGTGGAGATCATGTTTAAAAATTTTCTGGTGTTGTCCGAGCCCTGGCGGCCTCTGATAAACCCAGATTGGTCGTTGTGGATTATTTTATGCAGGAGGGGGGCAAGTCGGTTACTGATTAGCTTCGCGTATAGCTTGGCATCTCCATTTAGAAGGGATATAGGCCGGAAATGTTTACATTGTGTAGGGGGTGTGCCAGGTTTGGGGAGAGTAGAGATATGTGCCAAGAGCATTTCTTCTGGGAGCGCGCCCGCCTTAGCGCATTTATTGACTAGTTGAAGGAGCAGTGGCGCTATGGTTGGTGAAAAGGTTTTATAGTATTCATTTGTTAAGCCATCGGGGCCCGGTGATTTGTGTGCTGGGAGTTGAGAAATGGCTTTCGTGAGTTCGCCTAGAGAGAAGGGTCTTGTCAGGGGTGCTAGGTCGTCTTCTGTCAGTTTGGGTAGGTCCAAGGTAGCTAGGAAGTCATCTATTTTGTCTGGGGTTGGCATGTTCACATTGGGGTCTTGTTTGAGGTTATATAGTTCGCCGTAGTATTGAGCGAATTGGTCTACAATGTTTTGGGGGTTCGTTACCTTTGTACCCTTGAGGTCATTGAGGAGGGCGATCCTGGAGGCGACATTCCTTATTTTCAGTTGTGATGCCAGAATTGCACCAGCTTTGTTGCCACTCGTAAAAAAATTGTGTTTCAGTTTCCTGAGTAGGTATGTTGTTTTGGCTAGTTCAATGTTGTTAAGCTTGTTTTGGAGAGCTAGAAGTTTTGTTTTTGTGGCTGGGTTTGGGTCTCTTTTGTTTGAATGTGTTAGAGTTCGGATTTCTTCCAAGAGATTAGTATACTCTGCCATTCTCTGCTTTTTAGCGTAGCTGGCATGTTTTATAAAACTGCCTCGTACGACCGCCTTATGTGCCAGCCAGATTTGTTCAATTGCGGAATCAGCGGTTGTGTTTTCCGCAATATAATTTTGTAGATCTTTCGTTATCTGGGACACTATTGATGGGTCTGCTAAAAGGGATTCATTAAGTCTCCAGGAGCCGGACCCTTTATTGGCAAACGCTTCTCTAATGCTGAGCGTAATGGGAGCATGGTCGGACCACGTCATTACCCCAATTGTCGCTCCTTCTATTTGGGCCATCGATGTGGTGGGGATGAGGAATCTATCCGAGAATAGCTGTTGTGGGCTGCCGTGTAGCATGTGTGATCTATGTCTGTTGGGTGTAGAATGCGCCATGGGTCTACCATGCGGGCTGCGGTTAGCGTGGAGCATATTTTCGTTGTTAGTGTAGTTCTGTGTCTGAGTGTGCAACTCTTGATTTGGGCTGTGGTGGAGGAGTCTAGTCTGCTGTCCAATAGACAATTCGTGTCGCCTCCAATGATCACCTCTCCATGTCTATACATATCAGTTAAAGCCAGGATCATTTGCAAAAACTCGTTTTGATTTTCGTTAGAGCTATACACATTGTTCAGAGTATACGGTGCATTATTCAACATACATTGTAAAATTAAATATCGACCTTTTTTGTCACTAATTTTTCTAACTAAAGAGAATGCCACATCTTTGCTAATCACCGTGGAGACTCCTCTTTTCTTAGCTGAGTAACATGTGTGAAAATCGTGAGGATACCACTTTGAGGTGAATTTAGGTCTAGAGCTCCATTTGAAATGGGTCTCTTGGAAAAATGCCACTTGGACCCCACATTTTTTCGCTTCTTGCAAGGCTAGTCTCCGTTTATTGAGGGAGTTGTCTCCAGTCCATGAACAGCAGGTGTTTACTTTACATGAGTGGCTGTTCTAAAGCCAGAAGTTAGAGACCACTTGCAGTCCAAGGGGAATTTTTTACTTTTTTGTAATAAAGAACTCAGTTTGTTTTTCAATTTTAGAAGATATAATTGCTTGTTTTGTATTACCAAAGCATTTAAATCCCATTTACAATATAGAGTTAAAACATTTCTGACGCAATTGGTTATACTGTGTTTTTTCTACTGTGCCTTATCCACAAAAAAAAAAAATGCAAGCAAGGGTCTACATAGATGACCAATAGCCCAACCTTTCTCCTTGAATCAACAAGCTGTTAAATCTGGACTATGAGAGGTCTTTGAAGACCAGTTGTAGAAAACCCTAGATAGATTTACAATAATTAAATTGACAATGGAAAAATGGGACAAAGTTCCAAATGTGGAGTATTCACCACAGAATTTTTCTTTTTTGGGTCAATTTGTTTCCATGGTGATTGCTTCTCTTTTAAACTTGCCCCACTTTAATAGTAACACTTTTATACATCTCAATTACCTTATTAGAACATGAAAAACAGGCTGTTCTGAAAAAGAAAATATCACAAAGTAATGAAACTTGTATCCTAATGAATGTAATGAAAAACAAGAGATAATTCTGCAGGGGAAGATTTAAACGAATTATACAAATATATAGAGTCTCATTCTCAGAGAAGTGAATTAAAGCAGATGCCTGTCAACTCAAATTTTAATCAAAGTTAATTCTGGTTGATAGCTTTACATCTTACAACAGTACTGCATAATGTCCAGTTGGTGGCGCTGTTAGATAACACATACAGCCCAATGTAGTCTTTATACATCACACTTGTTTTTTGTATGATAATTTGCATTTAATACATATTTTCTAAGCCTCATAGTATCCAAACATCCTACCATAATTTGTCAAGTGTATATTTTCTTTCTTTTCGTGCATTTTCTCTTTTTTTACTTCTCCATGCAGTTTTATCTATAGCAAAAAGCATGTAAAAGAAGAGAATAGTGTATTTGCACTATCTGCCTTCTTAAGGCTTTTTGATGTTTTCCACCAGTTCACAACTGCTAAGCAACCCAAAATGTCTATATTTACGAGGAACAGTCCGTATTTTTGAATCAAAATCCCTCTCTCTTTTCTATCCTAAAGCCTCTCTTTTCTAGGAGCTGCATGTTTTGATGTGTCAGAGTATATAACAGAGCTCCACAATAATAATACCCACAGTAATGTGTCTTTAACCCCCTAGTGACCAGACCGCTTTTCAATTTTCTTACTGTTTGGGACCAGGGTTTTTACATTTCTGCGGTTTTTGTTTAGCTGTAATTTTCCTCTTACTCATTTACTGTACCCATGCATATTATATACCATTTTTCTCGCCATTAAATGGTCTTTTTAAAGATACCATTATTTTCATCATATCATATAATTTACTATAAAAAATTATAAAATATGATGAAAAAAACACCTTTTCTAACTTTGACCCCAAAAATCTGTTACGCATCTACAACCGTCAAAAAACACCCATGCTTAATAGTATCTAAATTTAGTCCTGAGTTTAGAAATACCCAATGTTAACATGTTCTTAGCTTTTTCTGGGAAAGTTATAGGTCAATAAGTACAAGTAGCACTTTGCAATTTCCAAACTAAATTTTTGCAAAATTGATGAAAGTTACATTTTAACCCTTCACATGTATATATTTTTTTAAAAGAAGACAACCTAAGATATTAAACTTTGGGTATTTTGACTCTTTTCAAGCAACCTTTTTACCACCAATTAAAAAAAAATACAAATTGGTGATTTTTTTTGACACATGTACTGAGAACTTTAAGAGTTACTGCCAAAGAACACCCCAATATGTGTTCAGCAACATCTCATGAGTACAGTGATACCACTCATGTATAGGTGTGTCAGGTTCTCCAGGGGCTAAATGACCTTATTTAGAGGGTGCGCATTCCAGTTTTCCAACTTGGAATTTTCACAGCTGGTCATCATGCACCCATGTCCTACTTGGGACATTTTTGAAGCTGGCTAATGTTATTTACCCCAATCAAACCATATATTTTTGAAAAGTAGACAACCCAGAGTATTTAATATGGCATGTGTCCAGTCTTTTTTAGTAGCCACATAGTCACAAATGAGCTAAAGTTAGCATTTATATTTGTTTGTGTGTTAAAAATGAAAAAAACTATTATGAGCGCAAATTTTGGCCAGTGTTTGTGACTAAGTGGCTACTAAAAAAACCGAACATACCCCTTTTGCAATATCTTGGGTTGTCTTCACTTGCAAATGGTATGCCA